CCCGCGGGCTCAGGCAATCCACTCACCTCAGCCTCCCAAAGCGCGGATTACAGGCTGAGCCGCCGAGCCCAGCATATTATTAATTTTTTAAGAGACAGGGTCTTACTCTGTCACTCAGCCTGGACTGCAGCGGCGCAATCATGGTTCACCGCAGTCTTAATCTCCTGGGCTCAAGTGATCCTCCTGCCTCAACTTCCCAAGTAGCTGGGAGTACAGGTGCGTGCTACTATGCTCTGCTAATTATTTTGTAGAGATGGGATCTTGCTATATCACCCAGGCTGGTGTTGAACTCCTGGCTTCAAGCGATCCTCCGGCCTTGTCCTCTCAAAGGTGCTGACGTTATAGCATAAGCCACAGTACCTAGCCTACAGCCCCATTTTTTTTTTTTCCTGAGTTGGGGTCTCACTCTATTGCCCAGGCTGGAGTGCAGTGGCATGCTGCTCACAGCCACTGCCGCCTCGACCTGCTGGGCTCAGACAATCCTTCTGCCTCAGCCTCCCAAGTAGCTGGAACTAAAGGAATGTGCCACCACACCCAGCTAGTTTTTTACTTATTTATTGATTGTAGAGATGAGGGTTCACCAAGTTGCCCAGGCTGGTCTTGAACCCGTGGGCTCAGGGAATCCTCTCACCTCGGCCTCCCAAAGTGCTGGGATTATAGGCGTGAGCCACCACGCCTGGCCTACAGCCCCATTTTAGAGAGGAACACCAAGGCTCAGAGAGGACAGAAGACATAGGAGCATGTTGAGACACTCCAGGAAGGGGATGACCATCAGCTCCCATATCTAGGTGGGAAGGGGTCAGGCAGAGAATGCGTGGGTGTCACGTGTATAGTGGGGTCAGGTGGGGGGAACCTTTTTCCTCCTGTTGGAATTTTATGAGAGGGTATCCAAAAAAACCCCAGAATTATCTTTTGGAGGGCAGGCCATTGTAGTGCATTCGGAGTTTGTTCCTTTGGATTAAATGTCCAACCAAAGTTTTTATCTGAAAGTTTTGATCAGGTTTGCTTCACAATTGGTGGAAGAAATGTTCTAATTTGTAGCAAACAGGTGACCGGTTCTTCCACTATGGCAATGCGCCTGTCCACGCTGTGCTGAGTGTTCGGCAGTTTTTGAACAAAAATGGCATTTCCCCCTGCGCCACCCTCCCTATTCACCCAGTCTCACCCTGAGGGACTTTCTTTTTGTTTGTTTCCCTAGATAAACAAAGTCCTCAAAGGGAAACGTTTTACCAGTGTGGAAGAGGCAAAACAAAAAACGGCAAAAGCATTAAAGGGCATCAAAACTGATGAGTTCAAAAGCTGTTCTAGGCTGGGCTCAGTGGCTCAGCCTGTAATCCCGCACTTTGGGAGGCTGAGGTGAGTGGATGGCCTGAGCCCGCAGGTTCGAAACCCACCTGGGCAACTTGGCAAGACCTCATCTCTACAATAAATCAAAAATTAGCTGGGCATGGTAGCGCGTGCCTGTAATTCCGGCTACCTGGAAGGCTGAGGCGGAAGGATCCCCGGAGCCCAGCAGGTTGAGGCTGCGGTGGCCGGGAGCAGCCACTGCACTCTCTAGTCTGGGTGACAGAGTGAAACTCCAACTCAAAAAAAAAAAAAAGGAAAAGCATCTTGATAGGTGTATTACAGCAAACTGAGAGGACTCTGAAGGTGACTGAAGCGTAGTATAAACATGTAAGAAGAAATACATACTTTTTTATAAATAAATTCTGGTTTTTTTGGGTCCCCTCTCTGTGGTAACATGCATTTCCCGCTTCTGGAATTCAAGTCAATAAGGATATCTGCACAGGGCAGAGGGTGTAACTTCCCCAAAGCCCTGAGCAGGCTGCTTGGGAAAGAGCATCAATCCCTTATGAATGTCTGCGGGGTTTCACTCTATCACCCAGACTGGAGTGCAGTTGGCCGCTCCCGGCCACCGCAGCCTCGACCTGCTAGGCCCTGGCAATCCTTCTGCCTCAGCCTTCCAAGTAGCTAGAACTACAGGTGCGCGCTACCATACCCGGCTAATTTTTTGATTTATTGTAGAGACGAGGTCTCGCCAAGTTGCCCTGGCTGGTCTCGAACCCGCGAGTTCAGCCAGTCCACTTGCCTTGACCTCCCAAAGTGCTGGGATTACAGGCTGAGGCACTGAGCCTGGCCGCATGAGACTAGTGAGCACCTACTGTGTGCAGATTCCCGCAAGGGGCTCAGGGACAATCTAGGCGCCGTCTCTGCCCCCACGAGGTGGGCAGATAAGGCAAGTGTAGACAGTTTATGGAGGGCCCGGCTCAGGGCATGCACCCACGAATCTATCAATCATCATCATCATTTATTAGGAGTCTCACTCTGTCGCCCAGGTGGAAGTGGGTGACACGCTTATGAGTGTCACAGCCTCGACCTGCTGGGCTCAGGCGATCCTTCAGCCTCAGCCTTCTAAGTTGCTGGAACTACAGGCACACACCACCACCCCCAGCTAATTTTTCGATTTTTGTTTTTTTGAGGCAGTGAGGTCTCACCATGTTGCCCAGGCTGGTCTCAAATCCCAGGGCTCAGGCAATCCTCTTGTCTCTGTCTTCCAATGTGTTGGGATTATAGCCAGGGGCCACCACACCCGGACACTAATATTATTATTACTAGATTATACAAATAAAACTCCAGCCAGAAACCTTCCCTGAAAAAGACCACTCTCCTGTGGTTGTCAGTAAACTCTCCCCAGTTTGCCCCACAAAACTGAGTACATCCCAGAGGAAGAAACTCTCACACACATCGAGACACACAGATGAGGCCACTCTCTGTGGCAGTGTCTGCTGTGGCTGGAAAGTCACAACCCACACACCTGCCGCTAGGGGACCATCATGTGGCCCTTCTGCAGTTGAGAGGGGAGCTGGATGTGCTCAAGGAAGGATGCCCAGGAGAACAAGCAAAGTATGGAATGTGACACGGAGCCCGGCCCACATTCACAAAAGGCACACTTTCCTATGTGCACATTATAGAAAAGCACAGGAAAGGCCTTGAAAGACACCTCCAGCCCTTCACAATGGCTGCCCTGGAGAGGGCATGGGTGGGGAATCCCAGTTAGTGCTCCGCACCCTCCTGTGTGGTCTGGAGATTTTACGACCTGAGGTTGGCATTTGTAGAGAAATAACTCATGGGTTCGAGACCTGCCCGGGCAACTTGACGGGACCTCGTCTCTACAATAAATCAAAAACTAAGCCGGGATCAGTGGCTCAGCCTATAATCCTGCGCCTTTGGGAGGCTGAGGTGAGTGGATTGCCTGAGCCCGTGGGTTCGAGACCCGTCTGGGCAGCGAGACCTCATCTCTACAATAAATAAAAAAAAAAAATCAGCCGGGTGTAGTAGTGCATGCCTGTAATTCTGACTACTTGGAAGGCTGAGGCGGAAGGATCGCCGGAGCCCAGCAGGTCGAGGCTGCAGTGGCCAGGAGCGGCCACTGCCCTTCAGCCTGGGTGACAGAGTGAGACTCCGACTCAAAAAAAAAAAAAAAAAGAGAAATAACTCACAAACACTAGGTGCTTACTGTAAGCACTTCACACAACTCTATCCAGGAGGAGCAACTGACAGCCCATTTTACAGATGAGGAAACTGAGGCACGGAGAGGTTGGTGAGACGGCCCCCGGGGGTGGGGTTAGCAAGTGCGGAAGCCAGGACTGTTACTTAGAGAAAAGGGAAGAGAAAACTCAAACTAAACGTGAGGCAGCGGCTGGGAGGAGGACCGCCATGGGCCAGGGCCAGGACTCACCCGTCAAGGAGCTCTCATTGACCATGCACTCGCCAGCCACCAGGGCAGCGTCGCAGGGCACCAGCCCGCCCTCCTGCGGCAGCACCAGGCAGTCTCCAGGCACCAGCTCGCTGGAGTCGACCCATTCTTCCTCTGTGGGCAAGTGGGAGCTCAGTGCGGCCAGGCCACCCCAGTCGTCCCCCGACCCGGCCAAGCTCTGGCCCCAGCCCTCTCCCACCTATCCCCCCCACACCCCCAAGCCTGGGCTCCAGCTGCCCTCCCACCTAGCACCCTGATCCCCCACTCTCCAAGTCCTGACCCCAGCCATCTCCCTACCTATCCCCCCCCACCCCATCAAGCCCTGGTCCCAGCCCTCCCTGCCTGCTTCCTTCCCCCTAAGACCCGGCCATCCCTGTACTACCACTCATCCTTCCAGCCCACAAGCCCTAGCTGTCCCCCCCCATCCCCAGCTTCCCAAGCCCTGGCCCCGGCCACCCCCCGACCAACCCCGCCTGCTCTGGCACCCCCAAGCCCAGCTTCTCACCTCCCCCTGGCCGGCACACACGCATCCGCACGGACAGCTGGACCATGTCCCTCAGGGTCTGGCTTTGCTGTGGGCGGGGACAAGAGCACGGTGGGTGGGTGGAGCCCCAGGAGACCCTCCCGCCCACCGGCTCTGCCACCTCATACCACCCACCGTTCTGGTCTTGTAGAGCGACAGGCAGATGGACACGGTGGAGATGAGGAGAATGCACAGCGCGTACCAGTAGTAGTGGTCAGCCAGCCACAGCGCGATGCTGAAGGCCTGGAACCCATAGTAGGGGTTCAGAGCCTGGGGGAAGGGCGGGCGGCGTCAGGGTGAGGTCCCAGGGCTGCCCAGTCATGGGGCAGAGGGCCCAGGGGCCGCCCCCAACTGACGCCATGCCTCTCCTGGTCAGTCCCATCCCACCGACCAGACGTCCCTGGAGTCCCGGGCTCTCTTCCCTAGGGGGACACGGACACCTGCTGAGCCCCCACCACGCCAAGCTCTTCATCTACGTGTCCTGTGATGGTGATGACAATTCCCCAAGGCAAGTGCCCTCATCAGCTCCACTCTACAGGTGCGGAAACTGAGGCAGGGAAGGGTAGAGTCACTGGCCTAAAACCGCATGGTTCCTAAGTGGCTGACTTCAAGATTCTCTTTCATGGTCCCTGCCTGGGGCAGGGCTGGGATGTTCACATTTTACTCTACATGTGTCAGGGTCGCTGGTTTCCCTTTGTCCCTGTGTGACCCCGGCCAGCTTATGCCCTCCCCGCCCAAAGCTTGGGTTCCTCAAGTGTGCAGAGGGCAGACCCCGGCCCCGCCCACAGGGCTGTGGGGAGATGGAGGGTGGACGGCACATGGGAAGTTCTGGCTACTTGGAAGGCTGAGGTGGAAGGATCACCGGAGCCCAGCAGGTCGAGCCCAGAGTGTGTCCCAGGCACCTGGCGGGGCTCAGTTTGCAGAGGTTTGCCTCTTGGCCTGTAACCCCATCTCAGTGTCCCCCATCTCCGGCCCAAGCCTTGAGCCGAACCTCCAATTCCTGGACCTGGCCAGAGCTGACCCTCCGCTACGGAGAAGGTGACAGCTGGTCTGGTCTGCTGCTGTCAAGAGGCCCAGAGGAGGCAAGCCCTGGGCTGGGTCACACAGCACGCCAGGCCAGGGCTGTGAGACCCAGGACAGCCCTACCTCGTCCACCAGCAGCTGGGGGTAGGACTTGACCGGTATGCTGATCACGTTGGGGCCATAAACAGCCTTCCTGTAAGGAGCATGAGGCCAAGCCGTTAGAGAGAGGGGCCAGGGCTGCATCCTCCCACGACAGGGCGCCCCACTTTACAGCTAGGGAAACTAAGGCCCCAAAAAGGCGGGTGATGGAAAGGCAGTCACACTTCGGGGCGAAGGGGCCAGACAGAGGTCCCCAGCTCTCGGGGAACCCTGGTCCAGGCAGCACCCACCTCACAGTTTGGTCCTGGAGACCGAGGCCGTGGCGGGAGCTGTGGACGTCATCACAGGTGCGGCCATGGTCCAGCAGGCTGGTGGGGTGGGAGGTGACGCTTGTGTGGGCCCTGGGGCCTGAGCCCTGCAGCCCCCTTCCCGTGCAGGCCTGGGCCCCAGAGCTCCAGAACCCCCAGACCCCTCCTGTACACTAAGCTCCTGGAGAAAGCGGGTCCCTCACAGTCTCTGGGCTCAGCCTTCTTTGGTTCCTCTGACTGGGCCCCAAACCATGTCATCGAGGAGGGAGAATGATGAGAGATGATGATGACCCCCCTTTTTTTTTTTGAGTGGGAGTCCCACTCTGTCGCCCAGACTGGAGTGCAGTGGTCGCTCCCGGCCACCACAGCCTCGACCTGCTGGGCTCCAGCGATCCTTCCGCCTCAGCCTTCCAAATAGCCAGAATTACAGGCGCGTGCTACCACGCCTGGCTGATTTTTTGATTTATTGTAGAGTGAGGTCTCAATAAGTTGCCCAGGCGGGTCTCGAACCCGTGGGCTCAGGCAATCCACTCACCTCAGCCTTCCAAAGCGCGAGATTACAGGCTGAGCCACCGAGCCTGGCTTAATGATCATTTTAATAGTGACATGAGTAGCTACCGTCCAGTGGCAAGAGCAGTATTTACACCATGATACCTTGGGCAAGTCACTTCACCTCTCTGGGCCTCAGCTATCTCATCTGCAAAATGGCACGGTGACAGCGTCTACTTCCAGGGTCTTGAGTGGATACATGTGACCAGCCAGGCCTCAGTGTCTGCCACTTGCTAAGTGATGGATACGCCGGCGATTTCTGTATCCTCATCCCATACCAGAGGCTGTGAGTGCCACCCCCATCCCGCTTGGCCTCACGGCTGAGAGACACAGTAGCTTCCTTCAAATGCTGCCTGGACTTGCACGTCTATCTGTATGACCACGCTCTGCTGCGAGCCCAGAACCCCACAAGTGCAGAAGAGTTCGTGTCTCCAGAGCAGCCGGCACCTGACAATCCTAGGAGCTGGTGGACAAGTGTCCTGGGTGGGTCACCCCGAGGGTGTGCTCTGCACTGGCCCCAAGAGGCCCCAGGGGGACTGAACTCCTGGCGCCACGGTGGCAGCTGGGATGGCAGCATCCCCCCCACACTTTCTGTCTGCCCAGTCTTACTTTCCTGTGCTGCCTGGGGTCACTTTCAAGCAAACTCCCTTCCCTGGGGGACTCACTGTGATATGTCACGAGCTCATGTTTACTGAGCCTCTAGTGGGCAGCAGAGCAGATCATCAAGGTCAGAGCCCAGGGCTGATTCACAGGGCCTGAGTGTTTCACTTTGGACCTGACACTGTGCCCCGCTTTACGTAAATTATCATTATTATTATTATTTTTGAGTTGGAGTCTCACTCTGTCGCGCAGACTGGAATGCAGTAGCATGCTCCCGGCCACCGCAGCCTTGACCTGCTGGGGTCTGGTGACCCTTTCACCCCAGCCTTCCAAGTAGCTGGAATTATAGGCATGCACTACCACGCCAATCTTATTTTTTGATTTATTGTAGAGACAAGGTCTCACCAAGTTGCCCAGGCGGGTCTCAAACCCACAGCCTCAGGCAATCCACTCGCCTCGGCCTCCCAAAGTGCTGGGATTACAGGCTGAGTCACCGAGCTTGGCCGTAAATTATTATTACTTTTTGAGTCAGAGTCTCACTCTGTTCCCCAGGCTAGAGTGCAGTGGCACATTCACAGGCACTGTAGCCTCAACCTACTGGGCTCAGGCAATCCTTCCACCTCAGCCTTCCAAGTAGCTGGAGCTACAGGCGTGCACCACCATGCCCAGCTAATTTTTGATTCATTGTAGAGATGAGGTCTTGCCATATTGTCCAGGCTGGCCTTGAACCCATGAGCTCAGGCAATCCTCTCCCCTCGGCATCCCAAAGTACTGGGATTACAGGCGTGAACCACTGTGCCTGGCAGATTACTATTATTTAGAGACAGGGTCTTGCTGTGTTGCCCAGGCTGGGGTGCAGTGGCGCAGTCATAGTACACGAATCCTTGAACTCCTGGGCTCGGGTGATCCTCCTGCCTCAGCCTCCTGAGTAGCTGGGAATAGAGGCATACGCCACCAGACCTGGCTAATTTTTCTTTAAGTTTTTTTCCCAAGAGATGAGGTCTCACTGTGTTGCCCAGCTTGATCTTGAACTCCTGGCCTCAAGCGATCCTCCTGCCTCAGACTCCCAAAGTGCTGGGATTACAGGCATGGTCTCTGCACCTGGCTCAAGCTTTACATACACTATTAGGTATTTCACCTTCAAAATAACCCTAGGAGGCAGGGATTATCTTTACCCTCTATTTATACACAGAGACCCACCCCTTTCACCCTGGAAAATCTGAGTAACTTGCCCAAGGTTTTGGGAAGCAAAAGCAGCAGAGGTGAGGGCAGAGGCCAGGCCATGCCACCACCTGCGGGTGACCTGTGCCACGCTGGCCCTGGCTCTTACCTGACTTGATAGAAGGCTTGTTGGGTCTCCACCCAGATATAGCGCTGGCCCTGGAAGAGGTAATACCGCAGCACCCGCTTCTGGGTGGGAGAGGAGGGGATGGGTTGGAGGCTGGACCCGGTCCAGGAGCCACGTGAGTGTGTCGAGGGTGGAGGGTGGGGACAGGGACTGGCATGGCAGGAAAGAGAGGTGGGAGCCGCACAGGTGGTCCCAGATGAGGGGGACAGTAGAGCCCAAAGGTGCTTGGAGAACACGGAGTCCAGCCCTCCCACCACACAGGGCGAGAAACCGAGGCCTTGAGAGGGGCAAGGGCTCATCCAGGACCCCGCCATCCACTCACCGCCTCCTCCCTCCTGTGCAGCTGGGCGGTGTCCTCCCACGCACCCTCTGGAACTGTGCCCACGGCCGCCTGGCTCCGGCCGTCTTCCGCCTGGGCCTGAGGGGGCAGCTCCAGGCTGGGGAGGGGGGCGGGGGTTACTCTCATGCACCGAGAGCTGCCCCAGTCCCTCCCTATCCCCACAGAGCCACCCACCTTCCCTCTCTGGGGCCAGAGGCACGAGAGTCAGCCTTTGTTGGGGGTGGGGCGGGGGAAGCAGGGGCTTCTGGGAAGGGGCGAAGGAGCCGCCTTACCTGCCCTCGCTGATGGCCTCAGTCTGCACCTGAACGGTGAACAGCTGCCAGGAGCTATCCTGGTAACACAGAGGGGTGGGCTCAGTCCCGGCGAGACCCCACCCCTCCGGCCCTGGCCCCTAGCCAGGTGGCCCCTGCCAGAGAAGGCGGAAATCAGGGCTCTCGGGGAGTCCCCCAGGAACCGCCCAGCTACCCCTTCTGCCTACTGCTCGGATGGGAAAGCTGAGGTCCGGAGGCGCGCACGGCCTGGCTGACATCCCATGGAGAGCCGGCAGCCAGGTGGGGCCGAGGACCCCGGCATCCCCACACCCCAGCCCTGCCTGCCTCTGCCCTTCCCCAGCCCAGGCTGGGCCTGGCTCTCACCTCTTTGTCTCTTACTTCGATGACGAGTGTTTCGGCGCGGGCCAGGCTGCAGGGCTGGAGCCG